ATAAAGTCATTTGAACATTTTCAAATAAATAATAATAATAATAATAATAATAATAATAATAATAATAATAATAATAATAATAATAATAATAATAAAGTGATTTGAAGTTGCCATTACGGAAAGGTAGGGAAACCACCTTTTCCTTTCGAACTAAACATAGCCTTAAGGAAGTGGATATGATAAACATACGAAGTTTTGTGCTCCACACATGAATGAAGCATGGTTTTTAAAACCGACCCGGTGATTGAAGCGGTCAGGGGTCTGGTTATCGATTCAAACAGTTCAACCATTTGACCCAAATGATCGGCCTGTTCTAACAAAAAAATTTAAAAATTAAAAAATAAAAATAAAAAATTTGAAACACAGTCAAACGATTAACCGGCCAGTTCAGCGATTTGCTGACCAAAATCAATGGTTTTAAGGAAAAAAATGGTTTTAGGGACAAACGGAACCAATCAGGTGATCGGTTCCCAATTTTTCCGGTCCGATCGTCCGATCCGATCCGGTTTTGAAAACCATGGAATGAAGAGCTAATGAGCTTTGCCTCACTTGTCACAGTGAAAAGTTAGACTGCTGCTTTTGGGCTTTTCAGTTGTCTTTCTGGTGCACGAATTTGTCTTTATAGGGACTGCCAAACTGCTGTAAAATTCATGTGGGAAGTCTTTCAGTAGCATATCATCTCAAGGGATTTGAGAGTGTGAAAAAAATTTGCCCATTAGCTTTTGCTTTTTCACTATGTATTTTAGAGTTTCAAGAATATCTGTCTTTGTACAGGGACTGCCAGATTGCTATGAAATTCTTATCAAGAGTCTTTCATTATCACTATAACATCATCTCGGAGATTAGAGTTATCTTGATGCAAACATTATTATGCAAACACAATTAACATGGGATTTGTCCAATGGTGTTTGAAATGTTGTTTGGCTAAAATGTTTAAAAAAAAACATTTTTCCCGGATTATGTGCAAGTTATATGTTTGAAAAAAAATCTTTTTGATGTTTTCTCAACACTTAGACAATTTTTTTACTATGGCGTCATATCTAGCTGTCAAAAAATGTTAAAAAACATTTTTCAACAGATTTTCTTATTTTTCAAAGAAGATATTATACAAAATGTTTATCCTCGAAAAAAGTTACAAAACCATACACCAAAATAACTGATTATCATAGGAGACTATAGACCATAAACCTTGTCCTATCAACCATTTTCCTGACCGGATTATTATTGCAAGTTGACTCTCCCCAATCAGCACAAGTTCATGTTGTCAGTCAGTTCGAACAGTCTTTACAGCCTTACATTAAAAATATCTTCATACTTATGTGCTTATTTCATGGGGAGATATTCTCAATCCAAGGTTGCAAGAGATTATTTGAACAGTGTAAGTACGGGCTTACACTGACTGAAGCCATGTACGCTTACGTGTGGACCCCCTAAAATCAGTGTCTCCTTTCAACCCTGATTGGGGATCAACCATTGAATTGGGACTATGACTTAATTTTAGGCGTAAATTGCTGAAACATCTCTAAATCAGTGGCTATTTCGACCTATGATCCCCAAAGCCTAGGTGTGCAAGTCGGGTGGGTTGGGTATATGTATGTATGTATGTATATATGTATGAATATGTATTAGTTGGGCTGGACTCAAATTGGGCCCACCCAAGTTCCACCCCTACCAAAGTCTCAGATGTTGGTGCATCATGTGCTCCTTGTACAGTATAAATGGCTGCTCTAAGTGGGATCTAATCAGTGATCGCCGTAGGGGTGGCAACGAGCCGAGCTTTTCATGAGCTGCTCGAGCTCGGCTCAACTTGGTTTCAACCGACCTCGAGCCTAGCCTACTAGAGCTCGGCTCGTGATGCTCGCGAGCCGGCTCGAATATATATATATATATATATATATATATATAATAAAAATATTATAATTCTTAATTTTTTAAATATCAAATAATAAATATTTATATATATAATTTTTATTTTATAAAATATTTTTCTCAAAACCGAGTTCGAGCCGAGCCGAGCCGAGCTTGAGCCTTGTAGAACAGTCTCGAGCCGAGCTTGAACCTTATACTATTCGGCTCGGCTTGGCTCAAATCCACCTCTCTGATCGGGCATCTATCCACTTATCTCATAACCCCAATTGCCACGACTTCCTTTTATGTCCATGTCAAATTTGTGGTCCTTCACTCCTTCCACTTTTTGTGCCCAATTCCAAATCATGATTTTTAAATTGTTGTTGACCCGGATGGTCTAATCATTTGGCCCCAAAACCATTACAGCAACCTATTCCATTTCATCTTTGATTTGTTCCTTCGCCAAAAACTGTCGACGTAATCAATGGCCTGTTGATTTAAGTGATCAAACCATCAAACTGTTCGACATAAACAACAATTTTTTTGCTATTTTTTATTTTATTAAAATTGTAATGAACAATCCATTCAGACCGAATGGTCAAACTACTAACCTAGAAACCAGTGACCAAAGAGAGAGTAGGGGGATCCAAAACATCTAGAAACAGTGAGAGAAAGAGAGCTGTAAATTGAAATAATTACTTTTTCATGTTTTCAATGTTATTTAAATCACTTTTCAAAGAAGTTATAATGTATTATTTTTAGGGGTTTTTATGATTCAGTCCACCACTAGGAAATCCTAGCTCCACCTAAGGGTGGACTGAATCCTACCCGTAAATTTTACATTTTGATTAATAAAGCTTCATCGTTGATTTGCATTCATCTCAGTTTTTACATATTTTTCATCTTCCATACATGAAGAAATGAAGCTATGATGTTGTTTCATTTTTCATATTTTTCACTTTTCATTTTTCAAAGTTTCTTCGTTGCTTTGCATTCATCCCAGTTTTTATATATTTATCATTTTCCATGCAAGAAAAAACGAAGCTATGATGTTGTAGCTTCATTTTTCATGTTTTTCACTTTTCATTTTTCATTCATCCCAGCTTTGCATTTGTATTTTTCGTTCATCTCAGTTTTTACATATTTCCCCTTTTACTTGTTTCTTTCTTTTTCATATTTTAATTTAATTTTTATATATTTTTTCATATTTTAATTATTACACATCTCCTTTTTACTTGCCACTCTTTCCTTTTTTTTAATCTTTTTTTTTTCAAAATGTAATAGATAATTTTTTACGGGATGGAGACTGATAACCTAATTATTATTATTTTGGAAGTTTTTTTAACATATTTTTCTTAAACCTCCCCTATGTATTACTATTGTCATTATAATTATAATTAATTACTAACTATAATTATAAAGAAAAAAGATTTTTTTTTTATGGAATTGGGTTGGGTGTAATTAGGACTTTCAATAGGATTTTGAATCCAAACTAGGTGGGATCAAGGTTCTAAATATCGCTACGCCCGATATGCCGATAGGGGTGTATCGGACAATATTGGTACTTTTTTTACTTATTTTATTTTTTTTTAAACTGGTTCAGGGGGGCCAGTTTAAGGCTCCACCCCCTGAACCGGTCAGAGTCCCAATACACCCTCCGTAGGGGCGTATCGAGGTGCTCCCAATATGATACGTATCGACCAATACAGGTCGATACGTGTCAATACTTTGAACCTTGGGTGGGATTTTCAAATTCGATCAAAATTTTAATCGGATTCAATGGATTTGGATTCCCCTTTTTGCTATTTGGATTATACTTGGATATTGATGAATCTAATATGAGGCTGATCCATTTAGAACCCCAGGAGTAATAGGTAAGGGAATGATAGGGGGTGATCATGGGATGTGTCCATCTTAGCACCCAATGTTTAAAGTATCGACACATATTGACCTGTATCGTATTGGGAGCACCTCGATACGCCCCTATAGAGGGTGTATCAGGGCTCTGACCAGTTCAGGGGGCGGAGGAGCCTTAAACCGACCCCCTGAACCAGTTTAAAAAATAAATGTAAAAGAAAAAGTACCGATACTACCCAATACACCCCTATTGGCGCATCGGACATATCGATATTTAAAACCTTGTTAGCACCTATGTTAAAGGGCTACAACGCAAACTTAAGTCCGGTGCAGCTAGGCTTTGGGCAAGTCACAAAATATCTCGAATTTGGATGGGCTACAAACAAATATTTTTTTTAATGGAATTGAATGGGCGTAATAAGGGCCATGAACTCCGAAGGTCCGAGATTAAACCCGATTATCTAAGATTTCGATGACTATTTACGTAACCACAATACGTAACAAGTAAAAAGGGTTGTATAGGACTCATGTCATAATGAGGAATCCGGTTGAAGACGATGATGAGAGAGAAGTAAAGTGACAAAAATAGGGGTTGCGTGGTCCCTAATGAGACCTAATGCCTTTTTTTTTTTTTTTTGAGGATAGGCCTAGTGCCCATATTAGAGTGATAATCTAGTTTTCATCTTTATAAAAATTAATAAAGTTAGTTAATTATTTTCTATTACATGCCCATGCTCAATACGAATGCCAATTGCTAGTTTTTATTAATTCACCATTGATTTTTTTATTACTTAATCTTATTATTTGTTAATATTATTTATATTATTATTAAATTTTTATTTTAAATTATATAATTTTATATTACTTTAAAATTAAGACCTTTAATGTTTTATAATTATTATTAATTTCTATAAATTCATCTATCAATTTTTATTAATTATTTATACTAAAGATGATTAATATTATCTTGTATTAGTTATAATTAAATTATATATTCTTTTAAAATTATTTATTTTCCTTAATAACACAAAATAGTCTCATTCAAGGTTCAGCCCAATACACCAGTAGGGGCATATCGGACAGTATCGATGCACCCTCTGTAGAGGCATATCGGAGTGCTCCAGACACGATATGTATCAACCCGTATCAGCCGATATGTGTTGATTCTTTGAACCTTGGTCACATCCATTATATGTGAGATATATAGAATCAAAACACAATTTTAGACTAAACTGCACAACTTGTAGAACGCATTAGGGGTGTGATGTGGTTTAACCCACCCATTTAGTCTACAATGGAGAAACTCTTCTACCGTGGATTCATACTACATTTCATGAAAACACAACACCGTGCTATCTCCACTGCCACTGCATTCAACTACAAATAATGTTTTCCATATTTTCCGTGTGGGCAGAGGTTTAGCTTTAGTTGTTTCTAGAAATACTCCAGAGAGATGGGTATTAATCTTAAATTTATAGCTACAGGATTACTAGGGTTTTCTTTTTTGATTGAATAAGATGCCATATGAGATGGGTATTAATCTTAGTTGGGATATATAAGATAAATAAATACATGGCTATATATATAATGTCTGATTCTTGCCATCCTCGAGACTAAAACCGCACTCTGCACCGTAGAATGTCGTTCATCTGCCGTCGCCTCCCTGTAAATGGAAACTGTCCACCGTACGAAATGGACCATCCTCCATTGCCCATAAATCTTCCTTGTACCTCAGCCTTGCTTTGCCGTTTTGATTTCTAAAGCCAGAGGCTGGTAATGTTCTATGCTCGGTATCAGGGCAAGCAAACAGGCCAATACAAGCCATGTTGCATCAGAGACCAAATGTATTAACTACTGCCAAAGATGATGTCGCCAGATCATTATTTATTTCTTCACATGCTCAGGGATGAGACGCTGATGCAATTCAGGAGATGCACCAGCAAGCTCTGTTTCAAAGGTTTCCCGTGAAAAAAGAATTAAGATCAAGATTGGCATGATTACTGGGAGAAACAATGATAAACTACAGGATGGAAGAGTTGATGATTTTACCTTGAGGTGTGAAGTCGAACAATGGTGGAAGGGGACGCCCATTAGGCAAACGCGTGTTTGGGTCTCTTAACTCGTCAAAGAAAGGGTGTGCACAGGCCTCCAACTGCAGGAGCCCAGGACAAACTAATGGTATCAGTAATCAGAATTGATATAAGCTTCCAAATATTATACTTGATATCAAAGATTCAAAATCATAAAAAAAAGGATATCATACTTATATCCACCTTATTCGGGTTTACAATAGCTTAAGTAAATGTGCAATGATTCAATGGACATTCATCGAGTAATTAGTGTGTTGCAGTTCCTTTTTATATTCTTGGGTGCATTTTTAGCATTAGCAGGGCTACTGGTGACTCTGGTTAGGATAAGCGATTTATCATTTTAGCTAGGTAGTACGGGAATAGTGTATTGTATCAAATTTGCATATTTCCCCATCTGGTCTGTTTGTTGTTCATGCATAACCAGGGAGATTTACAAAAGATTCTTTTTCTTCTGTACTTGGAATTTGTATCATTTTGTAGTAATTTATTGAAGTTGTTAATGCATTTTCTCTATTTGTCATTTTATTAATCTCCATCTTTTAGGTTTTCTTGCCCGTGCCCTAGTGTTATACTTGTATGTTGTGTCAAAATCATAGAAAAAATGATATAATACCTATATCCACCTTATTGGGGTTTTCAAAAGCTTTGGTAAATAAGAAATGATTCAATGGACATGTTTTCATTGAGTAGTCCATGGAAGCCCTGTCACGTTCAGACAGGAAAATTCAGGAAGCAAAAGAAAGTGTAGAGTTTTTCCATTTGTAATCCAATGCCTGATGAACATAAGTGGATTCTGAAACCAATAGGTTCTTGAGACACTTGGCATTTTATTATCTCTTTTTTTGGCCCTTTCTTACATCAATGAATATTAAAATTTAACAAAAAAATGAACATTATAAATACATTATAATTTTGACAACAAAGCATAGGTATCTAGTCAGCAGTATACCCCTTCCAAGACTCCAGATAACTGGGATCAACATTGGCTAAGCCTTCTTTTTCAAGTAATGTTTATAATATTATATTTATGCTTTCCAACTAGTAAAGAAAAGCATTCAAATTTACCAATGCCATCTTCTTTAGGTACACAATTACAGTTGACAAGATATCCTGTCGTTTAATAGTAAATACTTCTTTACAAGTATCCCAACATCTTTTTTTTCTTTTCTTTTTTTAAGTTCAATAAGGCAAGACTCCCCAACATTGCTCACAACTTCCTTAGAAGAGGATGGGCAAGAAAGGAAAAACACGTGAAAAAACCACAAGATTGTCAACTTGGATCCATCCAATGTTTAAAAATAGAGGCGCAAGGCAAATTGTAAGCCTTGAGGCACGTGGCTTAAGGCTCATGAATTACCACTTCAAAGAAAAACATGGAAATAGAGTACTAAAAGCTTAGAAAGACGATGAAGAGTGCATATTTCTATAGAAAGAGCATATAAATGAACAAATGAATACATAAACAAGAAGAGAGTACAAGGAACTTCACAAGACTCATCATATTCTTATAAACTATTTAATAACTATAAAAATGCTACAGAAACAAAGCTTTAAATGTACAAAATTACACAAAAAGCAGTTTTAGATGTGGAATCATAGCACTCGTGATATTTTAAAACATTGGATACATTGTCATAAGTGAGCATCTTCTCTATTAAATTTCTGAAACTAACTAATTTGGTGTTTACTGTAATTACTCAGATCAAGTAATGAAAACCAGAGCTTTAATATTCTTAGTGTTGGTTAATATTGTCAAATCCATTTTCTGTTGTTACCATCATTTTAATTCAGTGTTTTAAAAGCGCAAGGTGAGGCGTGCGCCTTTCTGAAGCAAGGCGCAAAAAATACAAAAAAGAAATGCTAAAAATAAAAAAAAATCAAAAAATATTAAACATAATGTTAATAAAAAATATAAACTGAAATTTTAAAATAAATGTTTTGAAAAACCTGTTATCTAAAATTAAAATACATAAACATAACATGTAAAGCATATTCAAATGAAAATTTAAAAATGAGAGCAAACATATAAAGAATTTTCAAGCATGTAAAACCCACAATCTCTTTTTTCCTCAATTGCATTACTTCAAGTAGCTAATGTGATGTAAAACATATTGCATTCTTGATTCTATGAGTCGCCTTTGTACCATGCCCCTTGAAGCAAGCCCGAACAAGTCCATGTTAGGGTCTTAAATTCTTACTTCTCACATAAAAATAATGATTTTATAACTTTGATTGCCTTTTAAGAAGATATTTTATTAGAATGAATGAATGAACAACATTAACAAATTGGGGGTCCTCAGACCAAGTGTGTGCCTTTTCAAAGGGGTTCACCTAGGACTTGGGCGAGTCACATACCCTAAATGTGCCTTGCCAGTGTGCGCTAGGTGTACCTTTTAAATCCCTAAACTACCCCTTTACTTAATTTGTTGAACCATTTGCCCTTTCTCTTACATGTATGAAGTGAACTCTTTATATATGTTTCTTTCTTCTTTGTCACAATCAAATGAGCAAAGCACAGATCAGTTTAGTCATCAACACATTGTCGATGAAGATGAGATCAGCTTTGCCATACTCAATTCCATCATTTTGAAATTACCTCCTTTGAAATATATGAAACTCAAAAGGGCATTTTAGTAAATTAATATCTTCTGTCAATCCAGTTAAGAGGGAGGCTGAAAAGTGTTGGAATCTGAAAGTTCAAGGGGGTCTTTGTCACAAATGAAAGTTCAGGGGGGTCAAGTGTCACTACCCCCAAAGTACAGGGTGGTAATTTGTAATTACCCAAAAAAAACATTTATCCCCACATCGAATCTTATGCCTCTGGGGGAAATTCTGAGCCTAAGGCGTCTTTCTGATGAATGTAGAAAGAACAAACCATAAAAACCCATCAAACATGAAGCTATGCAGAAGACAGCAACTTGCCAAGGAAAAATCATAACTGAGAAAGAACAAATTGGCCCATCAAAAAACAATAAATATGCAAGATATGAATTTAATCTGATGGAGCTTAAAATTCTTACAGCAGTGCAACGCAAATTTGGTGAGTACTGGAGCAGCCGAGACACAAGATCTACTGCTTCAGGAGGCATTCGCTTGTGAAAGACCTGCAAATTTTAAAGGTTGGTGTTAGGAGAATTCCCAACAGAACATGGAATTAACATATCAATATTCAGGTATAGACCAAATGACATCCTATAACAGTTTTTTTTTTTTTATCAATAACAGAAACTTATATTAATAAAATAAACAGGATTACATACAGAACTCCAGGGGAGATAAAATGACTTATCTCCCCCTGAGAGAACCCGAAGAGATAATTACAGAGTAGCCCAAAATAATTATTGACTCCTTCCCACCCCCTGCCTTGCCAAGTTATCTGCAAAGGCATTAGCAGTTCTCTTTACCCATTGAAATTGAATTTCCAAGCCCCTAGTTAACCACTTAACCTCTCCTCTCATTAGCATACATCCAAAGTCCACAATCCTTCCTTAGCCAGTTTAATACTAGTTGCCCATATGACAGTTAATTGTTTTACCCAAAGGTAAATGTATTTGGATAAACCCATCAAGCAATTCAATTGTATACAGAGAAAGGATAAATTTTCTTTATCTTGCAAAATGGGAAAAAGGTCCTAATAACTGTCATCAATCATTGATCAATACTCTCATCACTCCCAATGAATTGTTCACCAACCTTGTGCCATGGGTGAGCTTTGATTTGAGGAAACTTGAACTCTGTGTAATTTGGATTCATGCACTTAATCTCCTCTCTTGTTGGCGTCCCTAGAACCTAGTACATTAACACTTTGCTTCAATAGATATACAATTTTCAAGACGGAAAAAAAACATGTGAAATAAATCAAATGATATCAAACCTTAATGATTTCCACAAGCTGATCAACACCGCTTTCTCCAGGAAATAAGGGCTGAAAATGATGTACCACCCACAAATGCAAGTTATGAGAAATTGAGGATCATAAATATGCTGTTTATTATCAGGACCAGTGTTTTCAAAGCGCAAGCCGCAAGGGCCATTTTGCGCCTGAGGCGCAAGGCGAGGTGCATGCCTTTTTTAGGCAAGGCGCATAATTTAAAAAAAAAATGCAAAATATTCGAAAAAGTGCAAAAAATTATAAAATATAATATTAATAAAAAATATTAACTTAAGTTTAAAAAATTGTTTCAAAAAACCTATTATCTAAAATTAAAATACATAAATATAATATGTAAAGCATATTCAAATGAGAATTTAAAAATGAAATCAAACATATAAAACATTTTCAAGTATATAAAACCCACAATCTCTTTTTTTTCTCAATTGCATCAAGTAGCTAATGTGATATATTACATTCCTAATTCTACGAGCCGCCTTTGTGCCACGCCCCTCAAGGCAAGCCCAAACAAGTCCATGTTAGGGTCTTAAATTCTTAGATTTCACACAAAAAATAATAATTTTATAGTTTAAATTGCTTTTAAGAAGATATTTTATTAAGATGAATGAACGGACAACCCCCTATTTGGTAATGTTGTCCATTCATTCATCTTAATAAAATATCTTCTTAAAAGCAATTTAAACTATAAAATTATTGTTTTGTGTGAAATCTAAGAATTTGAGACCTTAACATGGACTTGTTTGGGCTGGTCTCGAGGGGCGGAGCCCCCAGCCCAACGGCCAGACTCAAAAAAGGGAAAAAGCGGCAAATTTTCAAAAGGCGCACGCCTGGGCTAAGACGCAAGGCACACCAGGTGTGCACCTTTTGAATGGGCTGCGCCTAGGACCCGGGCGAGGAGCCTACCCCAAAATGCGCCTTGCCTGAGCGCCTAGGCGCGCCTTAAATCACTGATCAGGACATGCCACAAGAAAACTACAAAGGAGCATTTTTTTTTTGGTAATTGAAAAGGAGCACTTCTTTTTGTTTCTTTTATTTTCAGATGATCCAAAATGGAATTTTTTTAAGATAATAGACAGCATGATAGAACGGTAGAACCACCTAATGGGTATAGGGAATCCAATACAAAACCAAACAAAAAATAAACCACATTTAAGAGATAGAAGACTGAAGACCCACTAAACATCTCTGACCAAAACTTCCATCTTTTGAACTGCAAAGAGGATCTCATATTCAAGCTGGATGGAAAATCCAAGACATGGAAGACCAAAAAATCTCAATTACATTTAATTGTAAGCTCAAGATGCCAGAGAAAACCGGCAATACTTAGAAAACTTACCTTTTGCAGGAGAGGAGGGTAAAAATTCATCATAAAAACTAACCCTGGAGGTAATGATAAGAGGCTACAGTGGATAAAGTATGAGGTACAGCAACTCTACTAAAACAATAACACAAAGAACAGAATGGTGAAACGGGATTCATATAGCCAACCCCATATAGTTTGGAACTTTGGATAAGGTTTGGATGTTGATAATGATGATGACTGAACTAGTTGAGAAAAATACATTTAGAAAGAGTATACTAGGTTGAGGTAACACTGTGCTTCACCTTGGAAGGACTCAAATTGAAGCTATGTTAAGTGGTTCATGACTCAATCTTAGTCAAAACCATTATTTGGAGTAAATTACAAATGCAGACCCACCTGTCCCAGAAGGAGCTCAGCCATGACACAACCAACAGACCAGATATCGATAGCTGTTGTGTACTCAGTAACTCCAAAGATCAGTTCCGGAGCCCTATAATAACGAGAACAAATGTATGATATATTTGGTTCACCTGGCACCTGCAATTAAACAAACTAAATGTCAAACATTTGATGATAAAACTATATTGTAATGCTAGGAAAATTACAAAACAGACTTACCAACTTTTTTGCACTTCCAAAATCACAAAGCTTTAACTGATGGGTATGGGGATTGACCTACAATATGCATAAATATTCAACTTAATTTCTTTATGCTAATAAAAAATACACTGATACTACCTTTTAAAATTATCCTTGTGCTCTCAGCATCAATCACAAGTGCAACAATAGACAGATAAAAGTTTTACTTCAGCCTCAAAATTTGATGTACTAGTATCACATTTCATTTCAGAACATCATTTTCTTCAATTAATTGAACGAAGAATAAAGAAAAATTATCAGATGCATTTGAACAATAGTGATGCAATTAAACAGAATGGAATGGCAAAACAGGACTGGTAGCCAACCCCATGTAGGTGGGATAAGGCGTAGATGATGATGATCATTTGAACAACATAAAATTTAAGTAACATCAAACAATGGAGAAATGGGTGCACTTTATCAGCTAAGGTATATATACATAAAACATTCTTTTATCAAAATCCAAGATGTAAGCATCAATTCAAACATCTGATACAATAAGCTGGCACTATACCTATTTTCATTTTATATATTTACGTAATATTAAATCCATTGGAACTTCCAATTTATTTTGGTAGCAGCATTTCAATGGAATTTCAAAAGTTCAGAGTTTCAGCTATAAATACAAGTGCGTAATAGTTACATTGTTTCTGAAGCAAATACAAGCACCAGCAGGGGTTTAAAAAATAGGAACAATGATAATTGACAGCATAGTTTTCAAGATGGAAAGGCAAGTAGGAGGAGGGGGGGCGGGGGGGCAAGGCAATGGGTTTTTAAATAAAACCCTAAATCCTAGGACAAATCCCTAGGTTCCATAGCAACCAGAAACCATCTTGCATTTGTAGTTATGAATAATCTTATCAAATAAATATAAACTAAAATGTGTGATGATTAAAGACTAAAAAAACTAGAAAATAATGACAAGAAACTAGTATATCAACCCATAAAATGAACAATTTAGTATAATAATGTCTATTTTATTATTAATCTCAGAAAATAAAATTTAAAAAATATTACAGCACCTTGACTTAGATAAATTGGAAATTATGGTATGAATTCTAATCAAAATCATATGAGTTCGATAAACACCAGTTACCAAAACTTACCAGTATCAATAGGTTCTAAAATTATACTTCTGTCCAACCATGTTTCAGACATGTCTTCACAAGGGTTTCTTGTCAACAACAAGAGTCTGATGTGAAGAAATCTATAGGTACCACAAGACAAAGACATAGAACAACATATAAATGTGAATATGTTTATAGTAGCATGAAGATCAAATTTTGATGCTTAATTCATCTAACAATTAATAAAACAAGCGAGTTACGCTTCTGTGTAAGGAAGCAAACTTTCCTCTCATCAAAATTTATACATATCAAATGCTATTTTATAAGGACAAACTCCATGTCCTCTGTCAATATATAAGTTTCTTCAATTATTTGTTTACAACTACACCAGGTTTAGTTGAAGATAGATAAAGATTTGAATAGCATAAGGTCATAATGTTCCTCACTCTAAGAAAACCAATCACATCCAGGTCGGTAAGACCCAGTTAAGTGTTATATTTTCCTCACTCTAAGAAAGCAGGACAAGAGAATGTGCAGTTGACCATAACCTATTGCGTAATGCCCAGATTTTACTTTATGCCACCCATCAAAAGGAATATTTCATGGAAAAAAATAGAATGATGTAGAAATGGCAAGGACCGCTAGGTGTGAAAATATCCAAACTAAGCACTATTTCAGTAACAGATCTACAATTATATAGGTAAGCTCCACATTTAAACAATTCATTCAAATTGTTACACAATCATTTACTCTCATGAAAGCCATAGAGGTAATATTCAACACTTTCTTACCAACAAATTCTGAGGCTTAATATCACGATGACAAACACCAATGACACTGTGTATGTAGTTAAGAGCACGACAGATCTACAAGAATGACAAAAAAATAGCTCAGAAAAAGCAGAACCTTCCAAAGAAAGATACACAAACAGGTTAACCTGTATGTTTAGCAGAAAAGTCTCACAGCCTATGAATATGTACAAATTAATGCATGCTAACACAGCCCACCTGGTAAGTATAAAGTTCCACATAGATCAGCGGCATATGTTGATTCATCTTGGTATAGTGCCTTGTAACTCGGTAAACAGTCTCAGAGACATACTCCAGTACAAGGTTTAGGTACAGCTCATCTTTGTCCGTAGTTGAAAAGAAACAGTGTTTTAGTTGAACTACATTAGGATGGTCAAATAACCGCATAATTTGCAATTCTCTGTTCTTATATCTCTTATCCTGAAGAACCTTCTTGATGGCAACTGCTTCCCCTGTTTCCACACACTTGGCCTGAAATGAACAAATTTCCAAATGTAACAACAATACCAAGATATATGCAACATGTATCAAACAAAGTCCACTTATACGTTAAGGTTGATACTCTATACCTGAAAGACAACACCGAATGAACCAGTGCCAACCACACGCTCTGCCATGTATGAGATTGTCTATTATCCATTAAATAAAAAAATCAGTTTCATCAACTTTTTCTAGACCCCAAATAGTTATAGTAATTTTTCTGCCCAATTAATCAACTAGGATATATGCAAGGATAAGCATATTCTGCATGGTCATGAACAGCATAAATGAATACTCTCTCTCTCTCTCTCTCACACACACATAGTGACAGAGCCATGAATTTTCTTTTGGAGGGGCCAAGTTAAACTAGAAAAATGAAATAGAGAGTAGAAGAGATACGGTTTCAAGAGAAAAGAGACAGGAAGGTTTGGGTCTAATTTTGGAAGTTGGAGAAGCATTAGAGAGTGATCCTTAACAGTTCAGTTCTTTTTTTTTT